TAACCTTTTACATCTTAGTTCCTGAAAAACTGGCTGTATTAATATAAATACATAAAGACTGATATTTATTTATTTTACTAAAGTACAGATTTAGCAGTTCATCGTAACAGTGAAGAAGTATTTACCTTGTATGTTGCATTTCAGAAATACTATGTAATACAGCTTTGGAATAAATTCATTGAGGTATAATTTGCATGTACAGAAATACGTCAGTTTTAAGTGCATGGTTTAATACATTTTGACAGGGCTGGGAATATAGCTCAGAGGCACAGCACCTGCCTGGCAAGCATGAGGTTGTAAGTTTGATTCCTCATACCAAAAAAAAGTACATTTTGACACATACATTTACCCTCGTAATCCACCATTAAGCTATAGAACTTCTTTTCTTTGGAGTACTGTGGATTGAATGCAGGGCCTGTCTACACCATCCTAGCCCCTACAGCTTTTATTTTGAGACAGGGTCTCACTGAATCTCTTGCTTTATGCTAAAGCTCATATATAATTGATATTTCATAACTTTGTAAAATTAAATCACATACTTTTTCTCTATAATTGATTTCAAAACAATGTAAAATTTTATCACACGTTTTCTTCTCAGCTCTAGTGTTGTCTTCAGTCAAGAGTAAGCTAATGGTGCCAGTTATTTAGTAGACCATTAGAAAATTTGACATTTCTTTTGTTTTAAGCTTGGTATAATCCAAACTTTACAGTATGTATATATGTATTTAAAAGACAGTATATATTGTTGAGGAAAAAGTAAAGATAGCCTTATTGAGTACTAAGTAAATGCCGGACACTATTCTAAAGGCTTCATAAATATAATCTTATGTATCTTATAAAATGAGGTATGTGTTATTTGTATTTTTATAATTAAGACACTAAGGGGACGAAGACATAAGAATGATACAGGTTAGAATATATTTGAATAAACAAGTTGATGAAAGAATGAACAAATTTGAGCAAAGGAAGGATAATCAAGTAAGGAAATAGGCTTGTCTTTTTTTTTAAAAAAAGTTATATTAGAAATTCTTAAGTCTCTTAGTGTGGCTTTGAGGACACTGGATTATTGAAAAAGAAAGTATTTTGAAGAATTGACTAAATTTAAATTTCTGATCTTTTAATTTTTTAAAGTTACAATTAAAATTTAAATGTTTATTAATGTAGAATAAAATATTTTAAGTACAAACCAATATAACAATTTAAAAATACATGTATTTTGTTATGCTGAATAAAAAAATCACATGAATACATTTTGAATATAATAGTCAATGTTTGAATGATTTTTTCTTTTTTTATTTAAAGAGAAAAAAAGGGTAGAAATAATATAGAATTTGAAAAAAAAAACCCAGAAATCACTAGTTGATAAGTTATATATTGTCATCTTAAAAATAGTTGTTGAAGTTACAAAATTAAAGCATACAAAGTGACATTCAAATAATGACACTGCAAACAGTTCTGCTCAATGATCCAACAAAAACTGTAATATGGTTATCAGTCCTACACACTTATTTTTTATCTTAAAGATGGTAAGGTTAAACATAACAAAATAGAACAAAACAGTTCATAAGAAAACAATTTAAAGAAAGACAAATTTCAAAGCAAGTCCACTGGAGATCTTCACTATCTTATTTTCTTCAGTTTTCTTCCAAATAGTTGTCCCCATTTTCACCCACATTGAATATATACTGAATATTATAGAACTAATCAAATCATTACAAGATGATGAAGGCTTTTTAGGTCTTCAAGACCTGATTTTGGGGAAGTCAATAATGACTACCATAATGTTGCTCAGTCTCTTTGTAGTACCTGTCTTTATTTTTATGTACGCTGAAATTGAACACGAGACTAGACTAATATCACTCTGAACAGTGAATGATGGTATTGCTAGATTTTATATCATAATCCTACAGAATTAGCATTGGGCTTCTTAGTGTCTCTTCTTCAGAGTATCTGTTCATTACATTGTGTATTATATAATCTGTTCCATAAATAGTTTAGAAATTCTTCCCATGTGTGAATCTCTACATGTATATCTATCCTTTCTGTATTATGGGGAAAAACAGATCAAAACAAGACAATAAAATAAATTCCTAGAAAAACATGAAATGAAAAAGACATATAAAACCAAATTATTAGGTGATCTACAGTAGTCACTATGTTTTCTCTTGTTATTTTCAATAGAATTGTCCACATCATCAGGCATTGTATAGGTAAGCATAGTATTACATAGCTATTTTAATAAAAACATAACTTTGAAGACATTGTAGGACTTGAAAGCAGTTAATAATCAAAACCGGAGTGGGTATCTTTTACATTTTGTTGTCTTCAGAGTAGTTGCCTCTACTCTTAGACTTGATACTATCAAGCATACCAGATTCGAATAAAATTAGTCAAGGCAAAACAGCAATCTAACAAACCAGCTTCAAATAAGATCGGTCATAGTAAGACAATGTAAGTAATACAGGGTTTCAGTTTAAGTTAATAGGAAATTAAGGATAATTACCGTGGTATAACCTGCTATTTTTGGGTTAGCTATCTGTGCCCTCAAATCTGAGTAGACAGACCTGAACAAAATATAATCAAACTAAACAGAGCGATAAGACTACTTTGACTTTTAAATCTTGATACACTATTAACAGTGTCCTCTGCCTTCCTTTTTTAGGCAATTCCTCCCCTTTCCCTTTCTCAGGGTGCTTTATATATTTCGGGTTCCACTAGCTCCTTTAGTTTTTAGATTGGGGGGGGGTCAACCTGTTATCTATCTGAATGTTGCTAAACCTTTTTACCCCTGAGCTTGATCTTGAGCTGTACTCCTTTACTTACTAAAGTCACAAGGTTTTCCTTCCTTCCAGCTGTGTAGTTCTACACTGCACAAAAGTGTCATAGCTTTCCAATCTATCTGGGGCTGCTAGACAAGCTGTCCCTATTTCTTTCTGGTTTCCTGTCACATATAGCATTGTTTTCTCATCTTTGACGCTCAGTTTATTAACCCTCTTTCAGGTTGAGTGTATTTCCTATTCAGAGCATCTCGATGGATCCTGCCTCCTAATCTACTGTGCCTGTGTTTCTTTTCTGTTAGTATATCAGGGCTATCTGTAATTATAGCTTACCATCTCGGCCTCATCTCTGCTGTTCTATATTTCTGCTATTATTGGTCCACTTTGCTCCTTCATTCCACTGTCTGTCCCATTCACCGAGGCCTCTCTGCCACTGTTGGTGGAATCCTGGTGTTTTTTCCTCTCTCTGGAATAGCCTTCAGTATTTTCTGTAGGGTTATGTTGGTGGCCATGAACTCCCACAGTTCCTCCTTGTCGTGGAAGTATCTTGTTTCTTCATCAATTTTGAGAGTGAGTTTTTCCAGGTACTTCAGCCTTGGTTGGAGGTTAATTTCTTTCAGGGATTGGACTATTTCTCCTCAGGCTCTTCTCAATTTGAGAGTTTGTGTTGATAAGTCTGTCATTATTATGATAATTTTTCCTTTACTGGTGATCTGCTGCTTTTCTCTGGCTGCTTTTAATTCTTATGGTGGATTTCTGGAATCTTGATTATTATATGTCTGAGTGTAGATCTGTTTTGGTTGTAGGTGGCTGGAGTTCTGTATGCCTGTTTTATCTGGATATCATTTCTTTTTCCTATGCTTGGGAAGTTTTCCTTAATTATATCTGTGAATATTCTTTTAGTTCATTTGTGGTTAGTCCTGCTTCTTTGCTCATGTTTTTTATTCTTAAGTTATAAATCCTTCTGTCATTTTATAGCCTTTGAATTGTTTCTTCCTGGTTCCTTGTTGTTTTTAAGAGATCTTTTCTTTCACAATCATACATCATAAATCTCTCTTCAAGTTTCGAAAGGCTAACTTTAGTTTCTGTCAAGGCATTTTGCCAGCTCTCAATGGAGTTTTTAGTTTCCCGGTAGTCTCTTTGGATCTGTTTCATGTATTCTAGATTTTGTTTGTATTCTTCACCAAAGGTTTCTCTTCCTTGGCTTCACTCCATGCTGTGCTGCATCCTCCTGCCAAAGGCTCAGGACTCAACAATTCTTGTTATGGGCTTCAGCTGGACCTTGAATCACCTGACTCCAGGGCGCTCCCAGCACAGCACGGCGTAGGGCTCCAGCCCTCCACTCGTGTTTTTCCTTCCTCTGCAGAGGTAGATTTTAGCTTGATGTGGTTTTTCCACATCTAGATCAGCATCCTGCCTCTACAGAAAACTGCGCGGTGCCTGGCTTCGGTGCCCAGGTGTATGGTCCTCTCTGTGGCCTCCTCCGCGTGGCCAGGTGGCTCTGGCTGCTCTGCGGGGCCCTGAGACCCAATATCCAGTACTCACCGAGAGCCAGTAAAGCTGTCTTCCTTGGCTCCACTCCACCTGCACCGTGTCCTCCCATCTAGGGCCCGGGACTCACTGGCTCTCGTTATCCACAGCTGCAACCTCCGCACGGCTTTGGATTGTCCGACTCCAGGGCGTGCCCAGCCCAGCACAGAACGAGTCTCAGTAAGAGTGTCGGGCTTCAGCCCTCCACTGCACTTTTCCTTCCTCTTCCTAATTTTATTTTTCCCTTTGGTTTCCTCCTTGGTTAATAAGAATCGTTATCCAATCGTCTGGCCCTCTCCATGCTGTCAAATTCTGGCATCTGGACTGTTTTCCTCCTAGAGATTCTCTATCCAGCTTCCTAGCAAGCTGCCATTTTTTCTCCTCTCCCAACTTACTGTCTTCAGTGTAAGAGAATTTCTCAATCTGAGTTCTGAGAAACTGAAGCAGAGAAGATCTTTGTTCTTAGTCATTGTTCTCTCTAGGCAGGTACAATTATTTCCATATCAAATTAGCACAAATCCTACAGTGATCAAAAAACCATTGCATAGTGTGAGGGTCTCTTAGGGGCTTTCCTGTACAGGTTATCGATTGTAGAGTTCACAGACAGCAGCCCATCCAGCTAGGGCACACTCTGCAATGTCAATGTATGAAGGAGATAATGAAATATTTGACCTTTTTTATTATTGTTTACAGAAAGATTATATTCAAAAGAAAAAGGAACTATGGGGAATCTGTATCTTTATTGCAGCTGTTGACCTAGATGAGATGCCATTCACTTTTACTGAGCTGCAGAAAAACATAGAAACCAGGTAAGATTTCTTGTATAAATTAGGCCTCTTCTATTAAAGAAAAGTACTTTATGACTTTTCTCTTCACAGACTTTAGGAAATTAGTGAGAGATGCTAAAATTAAATAAAATATAAAAGACTTGGGTCAAACAATGAGTTGTCATTCTCTTATGGAGCTCTAAGTTAATTTATGCTGTACTTCTTAAAAATGTAATAGTTTGTATCCTGGGAAAATTTTTTTCCCCCTGGGAAAATTTTTATCTGTTAGTATTCATTTGTAGATTGTCTTAATGATAACTGTTGATAAACTGTATCAGAGATCAAGGATTTATAAAGTAGGCTTATATATTAAAATCTTAATAAAATTAGCGTGGGTCTGTTATAAAGGAGTTTAGGTAAGATTTATTAAAATTTAGGATTTTAATGTAGTAGGTATTATAATTACATTTTTGTGTGTGGGTGTGGTACCAGGGATTGAACTCACAACCTTGCACTTGCCAGGCAAGTGCTTATACTGCTTATGCTGCTGCTAACTCCCTAGCCCAATTACAATTATTTGTAGTATATCCACCATAATAGTTGACTCAATAGTAATTTAAATGTTTTATTGATCTTTTAAGTCTTGAAAGAATGTACTGTTTTGCGTCTAGTAATTCATGAACTTTATCTTACAAAACCTTCCAGGACTTCTGGTCATTCCCATGCAGCATGTTTACAAAACAGAATAACAAATAATTTTACTAGATAGGTGATTGTTTTGTTTTTACTTGAATAAAGCCCTCTAGAATTCAACCTAACTGATGTTTTATTTAAATTACATAAAATTGTTGTGTTTTTATAATTTTCTTTTTACTTTTAAATAAAATGTGTAGATATAATTTACCAAAAAAGTCTATCAGTAATATAAATAGTTCATAGACCACAGGCACTAATTCCCTCCTCTGTCCCTTTCTTGCTTTTTTCCCTTAAGTTACATACAGAAGAAGGCTCTGTTATTGGCAGTGCACAGCTGTCATGATACTCTGACAGATGTTACCGTGTACCGTATAAAGCAAGAGTGATTCTTTAATAAATGCTATTCTGCAGTTGAGTTTGCTTTCCCTCTGCACTGTGTTTATTTACTCATTTCTTTTTTCTGGTCAATGCCCTGATCTTCTCTATCCTGTAGCATTTCTACCTCTTTTATTTGCTTTTCCACATGACTTATTATGACTGTCCCCATCCATTTCATGTAATGGGAACTTTCTTTTTTTCTTCATAACTGGGAATTGAACCCAGAATCTCCTACGTGTAAGGCAAGTGCTCTACCACTGTGCTAAAACCCCAGCCCTGTTAATTTTATTTCAAGATAAGATCTTGCTAAATTACCCAGGGTGGGTGAACTTTTGATCCTTCTGCCTTGGTCTCCCAAGTAGAAGGAATTACAGACATGTGCCTCTGTGCTCAGTTTATGCAATGGAAACTTTTAATAACTTTTTTTTTTTTTTTGGTTCTTTTCTGTCTTACTTTATGGAAAGATTTCCCTGTGTTTCCCAGACTTTTTTCAAACTCCTGAAATCAAAGAACCCTCTTTCTCAGCCTCCAGAGTGTTACATCTAAAGGCTCGTGCCTCTGTACCTGGCTTTACTGGACAGCCTTTAAATGGGTTCAGTGACTAGTAATATTTGGTCCATTTAGCTGCTTTGGTAATTCCTTACTCAAACTTGATTAGAAATTATAGTATCAAATGTACCTGGAGATTGCAATTTTTAATACCCTAACAGAAAGTGTATGTATGGATGTCTCAAACATTGTTTTTAAGAAGAAAAACAATAATGAATGACTTAGAATAGTTATTTAAACAATTTAAAATGTTTGATCTTCTTTCCTTTCTCCTTTCCCCATTAATTGAATCCTGAATCTGTTTGTGGGGCAAAGAATGTCAGTGTGTGCATCTGTGGCATGGGAATGCCACGAGGCCCAGAGAAGCCGGAGTGGGATTGTCCTAACGTGGGCTGCTCCGGGTGAAGTGCCAGGAGATCAAGCAGGAGACGTGGGCAGTTAGATAGGGAATCACGGTGCAAGGCAGATGAGGAGAGCTGCGCACTGTGGGGGTCAGAACCATAGGAGGGTGAGGAAGAGGTCTACCCGAAGAGGCACGGAGTCCAGACGGGGAGACGGGGAAGGAGAACGTCCGCATCGGGTAGCAGGTAGTTTTGAGAAGAGTTACAGCTGCAGAAAGGGAAACACTAGCGTGAACCGCGTGATTTGTATTGGAATGAAATAAATGGATACAAACTTATGTTTTAAAAATTTGTTTTGTCTTTTGTTTTTTTTTGTTTTTTTTTTTTGCAGTGCTGGGATTGAATCTTTCTAGAAACTCATTGTTTTTTAAGCCTACAAACACAGAGTGACTCTTAATAGTGATTTTATACTGTGATACAAAAAGGTAGAAGAAAAGATTCAGAAAGCTAGCAGAAAAGATTTTGAATACTTTGGCCATAAAGAAGTGATAAATGGGACCGGGATATAGCTCAGTGGCATAGGGCCTGCCTGGCAAGCGCAAGGTTGTGATTTTGATTTCTAGTACCAGAAACATGAAACAAAACAAAAGTGATAAATTTTTAAAGTGATAGATATGTTTACATTATTATATAGTATATACATTTCTTGAAACATCATGTGGTACCCCATTGATATGCGTTTTAATGTATCAGTTAAAAATGAAGTTAACAACTCCACAAATAGATTTAGCAGTCAGTGTAGGTGACCTTTCATGACCCTTCTTATGTGCTCAGTCATAAATTGATGTAATATAGATATGTGGATAATGGATATAGATTAAAGTGCGTAGTTTTTAAAGTTTAAAATAAAATTAAAAACAATGTTACAGAATTTCAAAACAAAATAATGTTAATTGTTAATATATTACAAATCATTGTCTTCAAAGTAATTTAATTGCTCAGTTACAAGATATAGGCATGAAAAAATAATCAAAGTGCAAACTGTTCTTTTTGATGAACTAATAGAGATTAGTAGTATAGTTGTTTATTTGTGTATATATACACATATATTTTCCTTTCTTTCTTTTCTCCTTTTCCCCATCCCAGTTCTTTTCTTTTGAGCAGTTTCTTCTCCTTTCACTTTTACACTATCTATTGTACATTTTGAATCGTATTTTGTCAGGTTTTTACATTAGGGTGACAATGTGATATTTACACATGCATATCCAATTTATGTGTCTTAAGAAGTAGAGTCTGAAGTTGCATTCATGTACTTATATAAGCATATCAGTTAACAAAATTGAAAACATAATTAAAAGCTTTTCAACAAAGAAAATCCCAGGTCCTGAATGGATTCACAGCTGATTTCTACAAGAAATTTGGAGCAGATTTAATATCAGTGGACCTCAGACTCTTTAAAGAAATTGAAAAGAAAACAGTTCTCCCCAATTTATTCCTGGAGGCAAGTATTATTACTCTGATACCAAAACCAGAGAAAGAGCCAACCAAGAGAACTACAGACCAATCTCTCTAATGAACGCAAATGCAGAAATCCTCAGTAAGATTCTAGCAAACAGAATGCAGCTAATCATCAAGAAGATTATGCATTCTGACCAAGTCTAGGAATGCAGGGATGGTTCGACATACGCAAATCAATAAACCTAATACACCATATCAACTGAGCCAAAGACAGAAATCATATGATCATCTCAATAGATACAGAAAAACTTTTGATAAAGTCCATCACCTATTTATGATAAAAACCCTAAAGAATATTACAATAGATGGCCTTTCCTTCAATCTGATTAAAATTGTCTATGACAAACCAACAGCCTACATACCCAATGGACAAAAACTGAAAGCTTTCACTCTTAAATCAGGAACAGGACAAAGATGTCCACTATCACTGCTCCTATTCATTGTAGTTCTGGAAATATTAGCTAGAGAAATTAGCCAAGAGAGAGAAATAAAATGAATAAGGATAGGAAAGGAAGAAGTTAAATCATCACTATTTGCAGATGAAATTGTATTTTACATAGAACTCTACCAAAAGACTATTAGAGCTATAAGCAAATTCAGCAGTGTAGATGGATACATAGATTTTTTTCTTTTAGAATTTTAGCAAACTGCAATAAATACTTCCTTCCCAAGGACATGATAATGATTTGATATAATCTTTCAAATTAAATGCCTGTGTTTTGAAAATAAATTTTAAAAATTTATTGTTTCACTTTTTTACTGTTTCACTTTTGTTATTCTTTTCCTTTGTAGTGTCTATAAATTCTTTGATTTAGTGAAGGAAATTGATACCAGTACCAAAGTTGATAATGCTATGTCAAGACTATTGAAGAAGTACAATGTTTTGTGTGCACTATACAGCAAATTAGAAAGGTAAAGTAAGACTTTTAGTATTGTTTTAACCTGATTTTTCATGTCACTGTTTGGAGTTTGATATCATCTTGGAACTGTTATATATTTAGTAAAATTACTATTGTCTCTTAGATTTTCTTACAGTTTATCCTATTTATCCACTTGAGTGCATTCTGAATGCTTCCTCCAAAATTAATTGTTTTACTGTTATTTCTATAAACTTAAAAACTTAGTTCTCATTTCATTCTTATTTGTCTAGAGACTTCTAATTCTGAATAGTGATCTAAATTTTAACTCTATCCATGGCATTATTTAGTTTGAAAGAAATACATTTTGGTAATGGAAGATGTATGTTATTTGTACTAATAGTTTGTGACTTTGTGTTTCCACTGGAGTTCTAGAGGTGATTACATCATTACTATTAATAGGAGAATAATGAATAAATTTGAATTAAGTTTTGAAATACATTTTTCATCCAAACTTTGGTTTCCTAACCCAAGTGTTTTTGTTCTTGACATGACATGTGCCTGTTGCTATGTTTTGGGGTTCATTTCATATGAGTACACACGTATAAAAAATGATGCTTTACCTAAAAAAGCAGTTAGTTGTAGAATGGTAAGTGGGTGGATAGCATGTCCTTAGATATGCTGGAGAAAATGAGAATGAAGACAAAGCTGGAAAGAGGCATCTTCCCAGAAGCATATATCTGGACAATTTTTCTTTCCCTTTTCTTGGTTGGTGTATGACTAAAGTTTCAGCTGTCTGATGAGGAGATGAGAGAAGTAGACAGAAAGCCTCAGGGTTTTGAAAGAACGTCTTTTCTTAGGTTTATTTATTTTTGTTCTTTTTTGAGGAAGGTAGATTTTATTTCTGCACAGGAAAAAAGGAAAAATTTTAAATTATCAAATATAATACATAAGTAATTTTCATAAGAAATATAAACTAACTATAGAATATTTAGAAATTATAGAAAGTTTTAAATAATCAGCCAAAATTTCAGTTCCAGAGATAATCAATTTTTATGTTTTAAAATGTTTCTTCTTTTAGTGTACTGTTTTCCATCAAGTTGATGAGATTATTTACAGAATTTTTATCTTTTTGAAGTTTAACTAATCATGGTGATTCTTTAAATTGGCAGAAGCCCTTTAAATTTGCTTATAACCCTTAAATTCATAGGAGGGAGCTTATCATAAGAATATGATCCCAAGTATAAAAAGCTTTAGTTATTTCTTATTATTTAGGCCTTCCAAAATTAGAAACTACCTATTAATTCACAGTTGAAGTTAAAAAATGTACTATAAATTTAATTAAACATAAAATTATGTAAATATAAAGTAAATGTTAATGAGTATAGAAAAGTGTTTCTAGCATTAAATAAATAAAACAGATATGCTATGGTGATGACTGTGTGTGAGGAAAAAACTCAGACCACTAATGCATAGAATAAAATGATTGGAAAAAAGTTTTCCAAAAATGCAGGGGTTTTTTCCTAAGGAGCTTGTATTACTTTTGTCAGAAAGTAAGCAAAAATCTTTTTAAGCAAATTGTAAAGAAAATTATATTTTTTTACAGATTAGTACTAAAACATACAGTTATTAGGTCATTTCTAGATATAGAATTTTGGGACTGGGTGTGATTTGAGTTTAGTCCTTGTTTTTTCTTTTTTCCTACCACAATAATTTTAATTGAATACTTCTGGGTTATTTTCTGTGTTGTCTAAGATGAGCAATCTGCTTTGGTTTTAGCAGATTACATTTTACCTTTTTCTTTAGTCATGGTGTCTTCTGATGAGTTGTGTTTGATTCTTCTGGACGCTAAGGAAGGGTTAGAAAGAGATGTTTGAACAGGTAATTGTGGACTTCATAGTCCATTTGTTTTTAGGTAGTATTCCTTTTTTCAATGAACAGAGCACTGATAAGTAAGTAAGCCAATATTCTTTTTATGTTCAGATCCATGGTAAGATCTTATATGTATTTATTATATTTATTAGATATTTTGTGTCTATATTAGTAGTAGTATAGGCAGTCAGGAAGTGTAGGGAGAAAAGCATTATGAGAATTACCTAGATGATAGAAAATTCAGATAATAACATAAGAAACAAAAGTTAAATAATTGCAACTATTGCATATTGAAATCTGAATGTGTAAAAAAATCTATGGACAATCTGAAAAGCTCAAGATCTTCCTACATTCTACTGCCTGTTTTTTCTCAAAGGCATGCAACGATGTTTCCAGGTTAGTAAATAGGGTACTAGGTTTAGATAGGATACAAGATTAGAGATCCCAAAAAACTTTCCAAAAAGAATATGATGCCTTACCAAACAGTAGAATCTAAGGAAAGGTTTAACAGAGAAGAAAATACAGTCTTGAGTCAGATTTGAATTGTAATCTGGGCTCCTAACATGTAGCTGGATGATTGTGGATAAGTGAGTTACCTAATTTTAGTGCTTACTTTTCTAATGTATAAATCAAGTTGATAATAGTACCTCTATAATGCATTGTATACTTTAAAGAACCTACACTATGAACTGTTTTATTGCAAATTATTTACCAAATCACAACAGGCATGAACTGTCAGTACCTGGCTGTAAGATAATTATTAGGAATATAAAATTGTATATCAGTCTGAGCATCGAGAAGTTTATAGCAAATAAATAAATTAAGTAATTAAATAAATACAGGGCTGGGGCTTTAGCTTAGTGGCATAAACTCCTGCCTGGCAAGCACGAGGTCCTAAGTTTGATTCCGGTACCAAAAAAAGAAAAAAAATACAATAATGGATGTTCTGCCTTATATGTACCTTGTTCTAAAGAGTTATTAGATGATTACCTCTGATACCAAAGTGTGTTTACTGTAGGATAAACTTTATGAATGTATATAATTACTAATTAGTCATTAGTTATGATGTGATGCAAGGTTATACCAAATCACCAGTTAGGACATGTATATTGAGTGAACCTGTGGAATCTTTTTATAACTTGATATGACAATGAGGTGAAATGTTATATATTAGAGAAATGTGTTTTAACTCTGCTTCACAATGCTGTACATGTTTTTGTTTTTAAAATGCGCACATTTTTTTTTTTTTGAGGCAGTTTTGCTATGTAGTACAGGCTGGCCTTGAACTCATGGCAATCTTCTTGCCACAGCCTCCCAAGTGCCAGGATTATAAGCATGTGCCACCATGCCTGGCTGAAATGTACATTTCTTGAGATGAATGAAGTTTGATAAAATTGTTGTGAATTTTATATTATGGAAATATTTTTTAAAATCATAATGTTCATAAAATAATTTTTCCCTTTTAGGACATGTGAACTTATATATTTGACACAACCCAGCAGTTCGTAAGTAGCACAGAATGTTCTTACTTTTTAAAAGTTTTTTCTGGAATAATCTCAATATAAGGATAACATTAGAATTACTGTATTGATGTTAACAAGCCATTTCATAGATTAAGGCCATAAAGTCCTATATCAGATCTTTATCTTATAAAGAAATACGTGACCTGCACAACAAAGAAGAACAAATGTGGTGGAACTGGATTCAGTGACAAATTATTAGCAACTGTGGGAAATGCAACCAGTTGATTAATTCTTTATTGAGAGTCTGTCACAGACATGTTATTACAAGACCCAGAGCATTAATTTTGTGTAAGAATAAATATAAAGAATTACCTTAAAATTGCCAAATTTTAAAAAATGTATAGTCCATTCCATAACAGTATACTCATGTAGAGCTCCAGAGATTTTCTTTGGAAGCAGATGAGTAGTACAGATTTTTTTTTGCCCCATTGAAGCAGTAGTATTGAAGGTGGTTGATATAAAGAGGAGTTGTATGTTTATTAATTAATTTATGCATCTATTAATGCCAACAAGTGAATTAATAGAATTATTAAGGCAAAGTAATGAATTGGCAAACCAGAGTCACCCAGAACTTCATTTTTCTACTTATCATGTTGATTTTAATTAGAAAACAAAGAGCACATAAATATTAGGATAATTTGAAACCAAATACATTATAAAATGCTTTATCCTATAAATAATTTTAGATTAGAATTGGGGTATTCAGTGTTTCCTTTAAAAATATACTATTACATGGGCTGAATATATTACCTTGGTAGAAACACTGAGATGAAAAATAGGTTAAGGTACAAATCGTGCATTTAAAATAAACTGTATTCTACTATGCACTTAACTTAGGTCTATAATTAAAACAACAGAGCACCCCAAAGATTTAGTTAGAAAACTTTGTCAATATTAAATTTTTCTTTTTTATTCCTGCTTTCTATTTGTGTACTAGACTATCTACTGAAATAAATTCTGCGTTGGTGCTAAAAGTTTCTTGGATTACGTTTTTACTAGCTAAAGGTAAATTTACTATGTTTATTACATGCTAATGTTTCAGATGTAGTAAGTTATTGTTCTTTTGGATTAAGACAAAATTTTTATTTAGTTAATGCATCCCTCATACCATTCTCTGCATGGCTAATTAATCATTAGAAACTAGTTGTAATTCTGTAAATGCAAACAATTTTGAGGCTATTTCATTTCAAATGAGTGTTTTATTCTTCCTCCATTGCTTTTTTTCCTTTATTCATGTGAGGCTCGATACAGAATCCAGAACTTCACCCACGTTAGACAAGCATTTTTAACGCCGAACTGTACCCTAGCCCTCTTTTTTTTTTTAAAGAATATTTACTGTATTTTTAGAAATACTTGTTCAAGATAAATAAACAATAAAGTGTAAATAAAAATTACACAAAACCCACACAGCAATGATTTCATCATTAAAATTATGTGATTATTATTCTAGATGTATATATTTGTGTATCTGTTCTGATTAAACGGATGAATAGATTTCTAGGATCATCCTATGGTACTGTCTTTAAAAAGATATAAATTAATTTTATTCGAATTTTGTAGAAAAAAGAAATAAAAAATATTGCTAGGAAATAGACTTTTTGGTGTCATATTCCCTATGTTTGACATGTTTATGGATCATCTGGAGATTTTCTACTCAAAGGACAACTTGGCTGTGTGTGCTAATCATAAGTCATGTTTTGACTCTATTATTTTCTGGCATAACTCTTGAGAAATCCAAGGCTAGTTTATAGTTCTTTCATTTAGCTCCCTAAATATTTGAAGAGCTTTGACTTTCTACCTTTCTTTTCTAGGTTTAATATTGCCAGGATATCTCTTGATTTTTATTATTCTGCATTAGTTTTTCTTGGAACACCAAAATTCTTTTTAAACTTGAGATTCTGTTTTTTATTTCAGAGAAACCTTACTTAAAAAAAAAAAAGAAATTTCTCAGAGAAACCTTATACTATATTGTTAAATATTCTGTTTAATTAGATTATTGTTTACCATTTTAGGAACATTAACTACCTTATGTTGGATTGCTTTTGGCCTTCATATTATTTTTATCATAAGATTATAATTTTTTGTCTTTTTCTTATAAGTTGATTGTTTTTATCTCAACTCTTCTGTTTTGAGAAAAACTATTTAATGATAATATTTCATTCTTAATTTTTTCTTCCTTTGGCTTACTCCTTGTTTTTATATAATTTGAATTAAATTCTTAAGGCAAGACTTTGTAGTGGATTTTTTTCTGTTAGATTCTATTCTGCATTGAGTTTTCTGACCTTTTCCCCTTCCTGTATTGTTATTCTGTTTTTTTCTTTTCTGTACTATATTTTTATAACCATTATTTTCCCTCCTCTTGCTGGGGCTTTCTGTGGGTACCGCTGACTGTGTTGTTTCCTCTAATGTATGTGGGTGAAACCTCCCTTCACATACTTTGTACTTACTCTGTGGCTTGCTTGTGTTCCCTAAAAAACTACTGCGTGTTAAAAGGTATTTTATTACACCTTTTTCAGTTAGAAGATAGGAGAGAAAGTAGAATATTCATCTGGAGTCACGTAAGCCTTTGTTGTTCGGAGTTTATGAATCCTATAATTCTTTTTTATAACAAGATTATGTTGGGATTTACATTGTTCCCAGTTGACCTTAGTAAATGGCATCATTCATATTTATCAGTGAGCTACAGTTGTTTGCTTCTTCCATTTTATTCCTCTCTGAGAAATTTCTGCTTCTTCTAAATTAGAAGAGGAAAAAAAGATGAGGATTACTTCAGCATTACCCTCTAGATTGGTGCTAACACTCAATCAATACTTTTCCTTTTTCTGTGTTAGACATAGTATGTCATCTGCTCTTTCTACTGTTTTTACCTTAAAGTGTTCAATATGATTCTTTACCTCTCTGGTATTTCTTAATAACTTCTAAGTATTTTGCAAACAGAGTTGTATAGCCTGTCTATGGATCTAGAAAACTTGCCTAGTAGAGTTTTCTCTCATATTTTCTTCTCCTTCAGGATACATTGGGATTATTGCTGATTTAGCAGTATATTACCCTGAAGATGTGTATCAAATTAAACTTTTCTTAAAAATAATAGAGTCACAAAGAAATATGCAACACCTATATTTGATTTATTAATTATGTGTAGTTATGCTATTTCTTTTTTCAGGTATCTATTATATGCAATTATTTTTTTCAGAGTCCTTTAGTTGTCTGTATAATAATTTTTAGAGTTTTCTGTGAAATGGTTATAGATGACCTTACAATTATATCCTATTTTTATTATTTCTTAATGTCTTTGGTTAGTGTAATACTTTGGAGGCTGATCAAATTGAAAATATATGAGACTCATAAATTATTAGAATGAAAGATTTCATATATTGTACTTTTAAAATTATTATCACAAGTAGTAAATTCTGTTGCTCATCATACCAAAACTGGAAATATATTTTCAGAAAACAAAATGCAAATGATTTGAGACATAAGGAATGAATTATTATGGTAAATTAATACTCTATTCATTTATAACTTTATAATTTTAAAGTTTTAACTTTATATTTTTATTTATATGTTTTAAACCTGATTTATTTTTACAAAATATTTTTATGTCTGTATCATGTCTGTAATAATTATCAGATGAATGTATATAGAGCTATACGCATACTCACAATTTTCTTCTGACTTAAAGTTACTCATCTCTTTCTTTAAAGTATGTAAATTTTTTTCATTTTCAGGAGATGTATTACAAATGGAAGATGATCTAGTGATTTCTTTTCAGTTAATGCTGTGTGTGCTTGACTATTTTATAAAGCTTTCACCTCCTGTACTCCTCAGAGAACCATATAGTAAGTATTTTAGATAATTTATGCCCTTTCTACATTTTGTTCAGTAATGATTTATTGAATGTCTAGAAGACCCAGCATGGTTCTTCAATTGAGAAGACAATGATGAATCAGACATGGATTTTTCCCTTGTATTGCCAGCTTTCTGTTGTTTTAACACACACCCAAGATAATCAACTTATAAAGAGGAAAGATTTATTTTAGCTCAGGTTTTTCTTGTTCTAGTCCATGATCAATTCCTGTTGTTTTGGGCCTATGGCAAGGCAGCTTATCATGCCAGAAGCATGTCCTTGAGCAAAGCCATTCTTCTCATGACAGAGGAGTGAAAGATAAAAGGGTTGAGTTTTGTAATCCTCTTTAAAAGTATGCTGCAATGTCTGTAAGACCTCCCACTAGGTTTTACCTCTAGAAAATTTCCCCACCTTCCAACAGCAGCAAGCTGGGAGCCAAGCCTTCAACACATGCCCTTTTGGGACATTCCAGATCAAACTATAGCAGCCCTCCAGTAGAATAAATTATAGAGGGAAAAATAAGACATGTTAAATAAATAAAAGAGAACATGCTAATGAGCATTCTATGTCAAAATAAAGCAAATATTGTGGGAGTTTCAGTTAAGGTTCAGGGGGAAAGCACTCCTTGAAGAAGGGTGGGGAGAGTATTCACATAAAGAACAGCAAGAGAGGACAGAAGTGAGTGAAGCTAGTTGGAAAAGATTGGCTCACTTTATAGGAACAGCTGCCCTAAATTTTTTAGTAGTATTGGATACTACAATAATTATGTGACTTTTGATATATGAGCTGAAGTTGATACCGTATCAGTGAGTAATGAGATGGGAAATGTACAGTGTACCCTTGACTTAGGAACTCAAATTGTTTGCAAGGGCTGGTTGTAACTCAAGTTGGTTGTAAGTCAAGACTCTTTCCCAAAAGAAATAATGAAAATATCCATAATGCGTTACAAATCTCCCAAAGCACACCTTACATAATTTTCATAATATAGAGTGGTTATATAATGTGCATAATTTACTAGAAACAGCAATAGCTTTTGTAGTATATTCATTACAGGGTTTAAAATGTGCCTGGTTTACCAAAACAATAATTTCCTACTGTATTCACCATTCAAGCTGACATTTTTGCTTGCAGGAAGAGAGGATGAAATAGAAAGTGGTTATTTTTTGGAAAGAGTGGCCATTTCCATAAGAACAACAGGGATATGACTCTCTGGTGTCTTTTTCTGTCTTTGGGAGAATCTGTAGCCTTCTAGGACCCGGTTCTGACTCATTAGGTCTCAACCTTTTTACAACTAAATCTAGTCTGAGGTCGTCTATTTCTGTCTTTTCTTTAACAGTGTTTTGCAGTATGACATGACATTGTCATTAAGCAAGTAAATGCAGTGATTAGCTCGTTCTCTGTCAGGCTCAGTTTGCTCTACAAATGTTTGTAGCTCTAGCCATTTTTTCAGGCTTTCCTTTATTTCAGAAGAACGCGGCTGACTGATTGTTGATACTTCCCTCCTCTCAGAAAGCTCCTCAGTGCCATTCTGTGTTGCTCAGCCCCAAGTTGCCGCAGCTCCTCTGTAGACGGTTCCTCTGTGTGCTCCTCCACCCGCCCTCAGCGGCACCTCTGTCTCCCTGCAAGCCCGAGGATTTGCTCTAGTGACAGTGGGGCAGCTGAAGGCGCAGACTCCTCTGCACAGCCTTCAGTCTCTCTCCTGCATAGTTTCAGGCTACACTTTCTTCCAGGCAGCTCTCAGGGTCCTTAGAGAGATATTGGCCCAGCGTTTCTCAGCCCCACACAGGAAGTGACGTTGTTTTGTTCCTTCTAGGACTCTTTAAGGGTTAACTCTGTATCTGAGACTATCTGGAAGCACTTTAGCAACAGTTACTTGGTTTATAGTTTCTTAAAGTTATCTATAACCTGCTGGTCCGTAAGGTGCAGTAGAGTAGTTGGAGTAGGCTCAGCCAAGAGCCATGGGAGTTCTTCAGGCAGTGCTTGCAAGTATCTCATGGGTGAGCAGGAACACTGTCCAAGATGAGACCCGTGAGTGGTAAACCTTTGTTCTCTAGATATTTCTTGACAGTGGAACAGAAAACCTCCCTGATCCACCAAGCAAAGGTAGTCATTACCCAGACTTTGTGTTAAATGCCTGCCTGACCCTGGTCTGTTCTGAACTCTGTAGAGTCACAGAGTGGTAAACCAAGAGAAGCTTTGTCTTGCGGTCACCAATTGCATTGGCACATAGCTGTAAGATTAGCCTCTCATATACTTGTGGCCTGGCATTTTCTTCTCTTTCTGGAGAGTGTATGCTAAGATCTATACTTTATCATTGGTTTAGAAGCTTTTAAAACTCTCATAAAATTTCCTCCTTAGGCTGGGGGTGATGTCCAGTAGCACAGTACATGAGAGTACTGAGATCAGTCCACAGCACACACAAACAACAAACAGCCCTCCCCTTCTTGCCCTCCCCGAATTTATTAATTAAATAAGCGGGGTGGTCCATGTGTGCTTAGTGTGTTCAAGGCCCTGGGTGCAGTGTCAAGCACCAAAATAAATAGCCAACCAACCAACCAGCCGATCAGCGTAGCATCCTGTTAAAGTTTCCCACAGAGGTATAGTTTAACATGCTCCTATCTTTTCAGTTTCTTGTAAATTAGGGCTAGAAACTTCGTGGTTGGGTCTAGAAACAGTGATTATACTGTTTGTCAATTATTATATTGTTTGTCAAGTATAATTGTTTGACAGTTATACTGATTGTCTTTAGTAGTAATCTCTTGCGTTGTTGAAGCTGTATTTGATTTGAATCAGCAGTGTTCACAGTAATCCAGAGGATTTTTTAAAAAATCAAAGCTTATTATCACTTTATTGTGTTAACATACCTATCTTTGAAAAACATCATTTATTAAACTTTCAAAATTTGTGTGTATACTGTTTAGAAATTTAATCCATAAATATTTGCTTATTATTTTTTAGAGTCAGATAGAAAACATGTTTTTTTTTTCTCGCAAACTAAATAGAATACCCTTAGAATTTGTTTTTAAATTGCCTGTTTCAATGGCCTTCTCCATGTGTATGGACCTGTGGGTATTTTACAGTTCCTTGGGAGCTCCATGGATAGAAAAGTACAGGGGTAGCAAACGTTATCAGTACATAATTCACACTTAAGTATTTAATAAATGCAGTGAAATTGTTATTCTTATAATGAAGCTGAGTAAGTAAAATAATAAATAGTACCAAGCTGGGTGAGGTGGTGCATACCTGTAATCTCAGTACTTGGGAGACTGAGGCAGGAGGATTACCATGAGTTCAAGACCAACTTGGGTGGCATAGTGAGTTCAAGGCCAGCCTGGGCTATGTACCAAGACTGTGCTTCAAACAAACAAACAAAAGTACCAGGGTTATTTTGACTTTTCTAGTTATTATTAAAATATTTATATTACAATTAAAATATTTCATTATTTTGTATGATGGAATGTGCAATTGTTCTTATTTTACCATTTTTACAGAAACAGCTGTAATACCCATTAGTGGTTCACCTCGAACACCCAGACGAGGTCAGAACAGGAGTGCACGGATAGCAAAACAACTAGAAAACGACACAAGAATTATTGAAGTGCTCTGTAAAGAACATGAATGTAATATAGATGAGGTAATTTTCCTTTGTGATTGCTTTAAAACAGCTAAAATAGATTTAGATAGAAGTTCTTCCTAATAGAATATATTTTTATGTGATGAGCATGGTTTTTTTTGTTAGTACCAAGTGTTTTACAGTAGCAAAATATTTAGAAAAATTTTATTTTTCATATTCAGTTACTTTGCTTTTAAAGAGGATAGCTCCCTCACTGTGGAATGACTGAAATGTGTATCATTAAGACAGTAGTTTTCAAGTATGTTTCATCTTTTGGATTCCATTGAGGTAATAATACAGTGCCTCTAATGTGTTAAAATACTCTGCCAAGAAAATCTTAGCATTTTGGTTCAGTGATAAATGATACTAAAATTGAATTTATGTTCAGCCTGCTATAATTACTTTCTAAATATTGTACTAGATGTTAATGACTATACATTTATACATAACAGGAATTACTTATCTTGTTCAGAAACCCGGGATGTTGGAATTGGAAAGAATCTTACAAGTAATATACTGAGCTTCTCTTTTTAGTGATAAGTATACTACCAGAGACTGATAGCTCATTACCAACAGAATCTACACTGAAATTTGGATATATGGGACTAGTGATCCTTTCACTCCACTGTGTCCCCTTAGTTTATTGTATTGTCTACCATTTGCTGCCACCAGACAGCAAGGTCAGCGCTGGGAAGGAATAAGGATATGTTTCCACAATCTAGTTTAAGGAGTACTAGAATGATTTAATCAAGATATCTTGGCTTTAGTATTGTGATTCCTGTTAATTTCAACAAATATATCAAATTTATATAAATATACACATGTATTTAGTTTTACTTTTTTAGAATCACAGATTACCTTTATAAGTAAGTTGACAACAATAATTGAAATATTTCTTTTTATTTCAGTTCTGTTGCTTTTCTACAAGATAATAAATAGTAGTTAATGTAGTTTTTCTATTTCTGGATTAATTCTCTGAGTTTCATAACTAACAAAATTTTAAGATTAGGAATAAATTATTTTCTTAACTTTTCATCTTGAAATACTTTCTTAGAATTCAGAATCTTTGTGGTATGACTGTGGTTAATTAAAAATCTTAATGATATTTTAATTAATTGACACTTGCTTGTCTAAACTTAGCACTTATGAATGTAACTATTGGTTAGTTATACTAATTAACTATTGCCTTAAAAATATTCTAGGTAAGTGGAAGTTAATTAGAAGACAAAAGTAGTACTTTAGAGACTTCTTACAATTTATTTGTGAAGTGGAAGATAAGAATTGATATTAAATTACTTCTATATTAATAATAATAGACTTCAAGTTTGGAAAGGAGGCTAAATAAGGAAAAACAAGTTATTTAAAATTCTTTGATGGGGATGGGGCCAGGGATTTAGCTCAGTGGCATAAGTGCCTGCCTGGCAAGCGTAAGGTCGTGAGTTCGATCTCTGGTACCACTAAATAAATAAATAAATAAATAAATAAATAAATATTCTCTAATGGGTTGCAAGTGTAAAATAGGCAGGTGTCCTGAGTCTTTTTTTAATTCATGGTTTACTGTTGAGTGCTTTTGCATGAAGTAATTCATAATCCCATAAAACATTTTTATTTACTTTTGAAATGAACTGTTGGGTATTAATTGGGTGTGTTAAACTATTTTCTTAAATTTAAGCTTAAAAATAGACTACTTGAGGCTGGGCATTTAGCTCAGCGGCATAAGCACCTGCCTTGCAAGCAGGCGGTCGTGAGTTCGATCCCCAGTACCGATAAAAAAAAAAAAATAGACTACTTTTGGCTAAATTAACTTCACTGTCAGATAACCTGGGTAAAGAAGTGACTCAAAAGTGCATTTGGGAAAAATCACAGGGAGAATAAAGAAGTGAAAAGGTTTGTGCTTCAATAGTAGATTAGATTATGATTCCAACTCTGCCATTTTTTAAAGCTGTGCAACTTGGGTCAGATTGCTTAATTTATCTGAATGCCCTATCTTTTATCATTGGCTAAAGGAGTAATGTTGAACCTGATTTAAGGGCTTCTCTTCCAAAAATCCTATTTCATTAACTATTCTCCACTTCCCTCTATTTTAGGACTTGGAATCTGGCTTACATACATTAAAAATTAAATAATTAGTTATAAATATTATTTGAATGTATCTCATTGATCAGATGAGTTAACAGTTTCAGTCTGGTGTTAATAGTGACATTTGTTTATTTTAAATGTTAATGGGCATGTGATGTTATCTTTTTCAGGTGAAAAATGTTTATTTTAAAAACTTTATACCTTTTATGAATACTCTTGGGATAGTAACTTCTAATGGACTTCCAGAGGTAATCTGAAAGAAAATTTAATTAAAATTGATATGTTGGAGACTTTGGAGAGGGAGTACAGTGTATCAAATATATTTTTTAGTCAAAGAAAGAAATCTAGCTAAGTAGAATTATGAAATCAATTTTTGTATGGTAACAGAAAAACTTTTAAAGCATATATAAATTTATAAATAAGTATCATTTTGTGATGTGTCTTAGATATTTACTTCAACTGAAATTTAAATGTAGGCTTTTAAGTTTCTAAATACAGCTCAATATACATGATGAAATTAATGCTTGTTTCCTTTGCTAGGCATTTTTAGACGTAGGCTCCATGATTAACATGTGGTATTAATGTAATTTGGAATGTCTCCTTTGAGTTCTTTTCAAAACGACTTCAGGTTGTGCACAATGGTGCATACCTGTTACTCCAGCGCTCTGGGAGGTTGAGGCAGAAAGACTGCAAGTCCAAGCCTGACCTGGGCAAGTTAGTGAGAGCTTATCTCAAAAGGTAAAAAGAGGAGGCCTTGTAAGCAGTACCCCAGAACAAAACAAAACAAAACACCCAGCAAAATGGAGAAAGAAACAATAAAAACAATTCATATTGAAAATAAATTTGGTCAAAGTGACTGTGAGTGTATTGCCAAAATATTTTGCCTAAGTGTTGGACATTCTGTTTCCTTTCACATTTTGCCACAAATGTCTGTTCAATAGAATAAAACAACTGAGAACTTTGGATGGTAAGGTGAACTATAGGGTGAAAGGATGTTTCATTTAATAAACAAACTCAGTGATGAAGCAGTGTTTTAGAAGTAGCTAGGATTAGTCACCTAGACCAGAGGCGTGAGATTGGATAGGTGCATGGGTGATTCTGTAAGATTTAGAAAAGATTGGCAGAAGAGATAGTCAAAAATATTTGCTGCAGTTTTTTTTTTAAAAAACCTTTTATTTTATATTGATAAATGTAGATTAAGAATGAAGGATATGTGAAAGAGTTTTGGCCAGACAGGACACTGTAGCCGGTGGAGCCTTAGAGGTGGAACCAAGGAGCTCCTGCCTCCCCCACCCCTAGGAATTTACCTGTGACTCCATCTTCCCGCCCCTGGGAATTTACCTATGGTGCCCACAAAGACCAGTGGGCTACCCGTGCATTCCTAATGCCCCCTTAGGTTCCACCCTAAGCCGAGGCTACTTATATACCCCCCACGCCACGTGTCCGCCAGAGAGAAAGCCGCACTCCAGCGGTTGGTTTTCTCTCTCCGTGTTCTCAGAATAAAGGCCTCTTGTTTTATACTTCTCATCTTTTGGATATAATCTTATCAATACATATGATATTTGAAGAAGCTTGGCAGTTAACTGGTTATTATATAGGCTGAGAATCCCTACTCTGAAACTTGAGATAGACTGTTAGATCTGGAGTTTTTTTTAAGTACTGATATGATCATAAATGGAAAGTTCTGCACCATAAAACATTGTTTCATCCACAAAATTATTACTATGTAAAACTACCTTTAAACTATACGTACTATAATGTATATAAGAAACGAATTTTGTGTTTAGAATTGAATCTAATCCCTGATACCTCATTTTATAAGAACTGTGTTTCAAAATCTAAAAAAAACCCTGAGACTGGAAGCACTTTTGTTCTCAAACGTTTTAGACAGGAGATACTCAATTTATAATACCTACATTTTTAAATCTTAAGTACCATTTTGTAGCATTAATGATCTATCTCAACATCAAGCTGTAATAAATGGATTACATACATAAAATAAGCTTAAAATTGAAGGTAAAAATAGTGTGCAATTTTCCATACTTTTAGATAGGCTTTAATTATATTTTATGTGAATTCAGTGTATACTGTAAAATGTATATTGCACAAAAATTCTTTAGTGATATTTGTTTCTATATGTTGGGAGATGTGATAACATGACAAAATAATCATCAGTATTTTTTCTTTTGAGGTTGAAAGTCTCTCTAAACGATATGAAGAAATTTATCTTAAAAACAAAGATATAGATGCAAGATTATTTTTGGATCATGATAAAACTCTTCAGGCCGATCCTATAGACAGGTATTGTATATGGTATATTTTGATAGATACATATTTGATATTATTTCATATTGGTACAGGCAGATTAAATAAGTTTTTATTAATTCAGTGCCTCAATTTAAAAAGAATACTATGTATATTCTTAGTATATAATTTATTAGCAAAGAGCAATTTGTGTGAATTATGCTCAACTATTATTTTTCCTAGTAGCCTAATAATGATTTTTGCAATGTGCACCAAAAGAAAATGGTTGTACTAATTAGTTTACTCAAGTGGTGTGCATTCTGTACATCTTTTTTACCATTCTGTACATCTCCTATTGCCTACTTGGTTTTTAAAAATAATACAAAAATATATATTCTCTTGAATTATTAATATATTTCTCTTGAAATATATTCTTTTGAATGATCCATCCTAAAATGTGAATGGTTAGAAGTAATTATAAAAATTTTTAGATGATTGTAAGTAGGTTAGTTTTGTGTCTTTATATGAAATGTTTTAATACAGTTTTTAAAGCTTACAAATAATTTGGAAATTAAATGCAGTAAAATGTTTTAAATTTAATTTATTTCTTCTAAGAGTAAGAATATTTACTGAAGAAGCTCCTAAGAAACAGGCAGGGTCTCAAATGGGTTGCCAGCAAGCCCACTTTTCTGAGAAAGTTTTAGAGAACAAAATCATGAGGGCAGGTGCAATGTTGGTCAAATTATAATTGATCAGTAAGATTACAAGTATAGCCATTGATCCAGTAGTAGCAAGGGCATATGGACGACATCATTAACCTTGGTCAAAATCTATAGTCTTAGTTTTGTCTTGGTGGGAGAGGCTGGCCCACTCCTGATGAGATAGTGCTTTATTTATATGGGAAATAACAAAAGGGTAGTACCAGTAATCTCAAACTTTCTTAGGGAACTGTCTGAATCTGGCCATTAAGATTCCACCCCGTTTTTGATGTATTCTTATTATCTGCACTGACTCCTTTGATGAGCTAGCCCTGCCTGCCTGCCTGCCTGCCTAGATTTTTACGTAATTTTGCTATCTATAATATTATCCCTCCAAAGAGCTATCCCTAACTATGGTTACGGGAGAAGGAATGCAGTTTCTGTCCAGGTGCTTGGAGCTAAGAAGTGTAGTGGAGACCACAATCAGAGACCTTCTCCAGAGAGCTAATTTCCTAGGCCTTGACTAGAAATCGTTGCAGTTTTGCAGTTTTGAACTTCTTTTGTAAGGTCAGTATTTTGGTCCTCAATAAAAGAACTCTGGCACATTTGCTGTTGGTTCCATCTGCATGATCACTTGGAGTTTGGCAGCCTCTAAGCAAGAATAAACAAATTTTCCAAGACATTAAAGCAAAGCATGAGCCCTGGACTAGAAAGGCAGGTTGGAAGGAATCAAATGTAGAAATTGCTCTTAAGAAACTAGAATAACAGTTGTTAACAATTGACTCTTAGATACTCTACTGATGGAGGTTATCTATAAGCCTGGTATTTCTTGTAAGTCCCTTTAGTCTTAGCCATAAGAAGATGGAGAGTTTGGTGGTTTGAAGGACAAGTGGGGGGCCATAGATAAGTAAAGATTTCTCTGCTGGTTATCCAAAGAAGTGGCTTTGGGTGCCCATTGGTGCCCATTTGGGTGCCCATGGCCCCTTAGTTGCCCTCTCAGCTTTCACTGATTTCACACAACCAGAGATCTGTCTCTGGAAAGGATTTCAGCTTGCCTATCTGGCCAACTTTAACCAGAAGGTGTTGGGGAAGCCTGTTCTCTGCTTTGAGAGTGGCAGCTAATCTAAGAATGGTTAACTAGTTGGCAGGGTGACCACTGTTTGTTACAATTTAGTAAGTGATTGATGAATGCTATATGCATACATATTTCCTAGATATAATTCATTTAACAGCATTTTATAATTCGCGTTTTTGGTTAGTATTCAAGTCTATTACAGAAACGCTGTTACCTTTCTACAGTGTTGCTGTCTAAAATAAGACAGTAAGCTCTCTTGTTACCATTAAACAAATCAAGCAAGGAATACAAGTAAATTCGACAACTAGTAAGGCTAAATGCAGCATAAAGACAGGAATACAAGACCCTGTCTGCAAAAATAAAATGTCCTATCAAAGAAACAGAGACACATCATAACCTCTGTATGCTCTCAACTTAAATCTGTCAGTATTTTAACAGACAGACAAGATACAAGTGATTGACAAATAAGATGACAATTTCATTTACCTAAATGAGTTATAATCCAACATCCAATTGCATTATTTAAGGGTGCCATGAAACAAAAGCAAACTTGTATTTTCTTCCAAAGATCTCTGTGGGTCCTTCAAGATAACTGACATAGAGGAAAATATGTAACTCCTATCCTGCTAGATGTCTGATACGTGGGTTTGTGTTCCCTGAAGACAAGGAATGAATTCTAAGAAACAGTGGAGGAGAGACAAAAGGGGTCGCAAATGGGTTGCCCAGTGTTTCTAATTTTGTGTAAGCAGAAATAAACTATCTAAAAGTATCTTGCATTGGAAAACTTGAGCTTCAATATTTTTGACTTCTGAACAGCATGGTTATTAAACTAGCCAGAAACAACTAGCCATTTTTACTTTCAAGAAAATACTTAAATGGTTGGTACAACTCTTTGTCGTAAACCTAATAGAACAAGATCCATACTTAAAAACAGTAGTAAAAAGATAAAAATTTATTTAAGTACCGATTGAATTTACCTATTTCCTATCACTTCTATCATTGACTTACCATTTTGTGTGAGATACTATGAAGCAACAGGAGGTTTCGTACTCCTTTTTTAACTCATAAGGCAAAAATTATACATTTTCTGTATGAATGACTTTGCTTGCTATTTAGTTTTGAAATGCAGAGAACCCCACAGAAAAGTAACCCTGATGAAGAGGTAAATGTGATTCCTCCACACACTCCAGTTAGGTATGTATAAATTTTTTACTTTTAATTAAGTTCTTTAGGTTTAGTGCTTTATAGTGTTTCAGGTTTGTTCGTTTGTTTAATTTTATATTTGTACTACAAGTAATAAAAATATATTGAATCTTCTTTGTGTCCCAAGAATTTTATGAGTTGCTTGGATTACAGATATTGGACCTCGTTCTATCCTTAAGGACTTTAACCTAAAATAAGCATGTGTTCCATCTCAGTTAAGAAAAAAAAAATCTCCATTTGTTGTGGACATGATTTTGAAAGCTTGTCCTTTTTGTCACTTGTTTCCCACACTTTTGTGTGTCATCAAGTCTCACTGACTTAGAGCCTGTTTGCTTCCCTCCAGCCTAAGCTCACTTCTGCGCCAGACTTTCTGTAGTAGGCTGATAGTGGTCGTCGTGCTGCTGCTCTCAGTGCTGTGTCCGTCCCAGCATCAGATTGCCCTCATGTGGCCTCATGAAGAGTGTTCTAAAAATATGCATCAGATCATGGTGTTGACACTGGGTGGTTCCGGGTATAGCTGGCATAGAATGCAGATTCCTTAACACAGTCTACAAGACTTACACATCATTCTTCTTTCAGTTTCTCAGACTCTGCAAGCCTTCATACGTAATATACTCTTCTCAAAACCCTACCTTTCCATGTAGTGCCAGCTGATATTTTTTTCTTTGTTTAGCACAAAAATGCTTTTTGTTAAAGATACAATTTTCTTTATTTTCTTTTATTCTTTCTCATAACATCTTGTTCTATTCCTTTATAGCTTGCATCACAGTTTATAATTGTCAATTCCTTTGTGTGTTTGCTTTTTATCAATGTCCAATAGTCTTTAAATTCTATTCATAAGACCATGACTTTTTGTTTACCATTTAATAATAAAGGCCTAACATGGAAACAAGCATAGTTATATACATGCTTATATAAAAAAGTATGGTAACAGACTTATGGACAAGTTAATGTGATGATGCAGAAGAAACATTTCTTACGTTTATTCATTTTTATTAGTACATGTTTATAGTACAGAGTTTTTGTTTTTAACTCAGACAGAAGGAGTAGGCACATGTGCTTCACATATTCCTGCATTCTCTTTCTAATCTTTGCCTACCCTCCCCACCTTTATCTCTAGATGTTTTCCCTATGTGTGCAAGGTCTATTTCTTCATCTCCTAGTATCTATGTGTTATTTTTAAAAATTACTTATACTTTGGGGTTCTCATATAAGAGAAGTTCTACATAGTTAAGCTTGTATGTCTGATTTATTTCACTTAATGTAGTCTCAAAATTTATCCATTTTCCTACCAATGAGTTTTTTATTATTCTTTATGGCAGAGAAGTACTCCAGTGTGTATACCTACTGCTTTTTCTTTGTTCATTCGTCTGTTGATGCACATGTAGGTCACTTCCAAGGTTTAGCTATTGTGAGTTGTGCTGTGATAAACATGCCGTGTATCACTGTGGTGTGATATCTTTAACTTTTGGGTAGATAACCTACAAGGGAATAGCTGAGTGGAATGGAATTTCCATTTTTAATTTTCTGAGGAATTGCCGTATTTATTTGCATAATTATTTACATTATGCAACAATAGTTCACATTACCAGCAACAATATAGAAGGTTTCCCAGCCTCAAGATTTGTTATTAATTTTTTATGATAGGCATTTTTATGAGTAAGGTGAAAGGTCAGTGTAGTTTTATCTGCATTTGTTTGATAGCCAGGGATGTCAAACATTTTTTCCATGAATTTATTGGCCATTTCTGTTACTTTGAGAAATGTTAATTTCAATTGTCTGTTTTTTATTGGGTCTTTTATTTTGGGAAGTATGACCTTTTTAAAAGTTCTTTGTAAATTCTAGATGTTAGTCTTCATGACTAAGGATGAAGCCAAGAAAGCTAAAGTGGCCTGTGAGTTTCAGGAAGGAGCAAGAGCTGGAGTGTCAAATGCTCCAAGATAGTCAGTTGTCAGTATGAGCGCAAAAGGTCTTTTGGTTTTAGCTGTTGAGCATTTATTGCTTTAGGCATTATGGCTTAAGTAGATTAATGGGCATAGAAGGTACACCAGTTGCATGACAATATGTTTGAAAGGCAATGTATAGATATCAGTTTAAAGAAGTTTGGCTGAGAGCATTGAACATGTTTTACTAAATAACATTAAAAGACCCTTATAGCCCTAAATATGGCGCAGTGTCTCAGATGTACTTGCTACTCCAAAATTGGAGCATTAACCTTTGCCATACCACATACACACACACACACACACACACACACACACAAACAGCACACACAGACATGCACACACTATAGAATTGTAGACTTAAAGAGATCTTTAAAAGAGATCTTTTAATATTACCCAAGACCTTAATATTCTTTCTTCTTAATAATCTCTGTAAAGGAGGCTCATTTGACCTACTTAAATTACTAAATATCTTACTTTACTACTAGTTTGACACAGTTCATGTTTTATTGATATTTAGTTTTATTAGCAAATTAGCTTTATAACTTATGAATACTTTTCTTAAAGATTTAAGTGAAATGTATTTCCTTGTAAAACATGACATAATATGGTTTGTTTGTTTTTTTAATGAGGTCGTAGTTCAGGGAATTTCTTAAGGAAATTGAGGAATGCCATGTGTTAGAAAATAGTTTTAATTATACATTTGGATTTTTTTCTTTTATTAACATTTCTTCTCTTTTTTCTCTTCTAGAACTGTTATGAATACTATTCAACAATTAATGATGATTTTAAACTCAGCAAGTGATCAACCATCAGAAATCCTGATTTCCTATTTCAATGTAAGTCATGAATGAAACATGATGTTTTGTGTATCTTGGTGCAAAAATTTGAAATAAGAAGTACTGTTTTTAAAACAGTGAACTCCCATCCAACATGTAGTTATCCATCATCTTCTTTCTTACATCTTATTATTAGTATTGCTTTTTAAAGGCAATGTTTTATTTTCTTATGTTTACCATTTGCCTTGTTCACCACTCTTTCTTATAACTTAGACCTCCTTTCTGAAATCATTTCCTTTCTTCTTCAGATATAGTCTTTAAAAATTCTTATAGTAAGGTTAGTTTGGGATGAAAATCTTTTTGTCTAAAAATGTCTTTACTCTCATCTTTAATGAGATGGTTTAGCTGGATTTTCAATACTAGTTTGGTATACCTTCTCTCAGGAAAGATACTGCTTTACTGTTTTGAATATATTGTTTATTGCTTGTTGACTCTTTACCATTACTAATTAAGAAGTTATCTGCTAAGCTATTGTTTCTTCATAATCTGTCTTTCCCCTTGGTTAATTTTAAGATCTTTTCTTTGAAGGTTGATGTTAGATATGCTTTAACACTCACCCTGGCTCTCTCATCTTTTTTATACTATACTTGGCCCATTTTTATTTACAGTTCTTGTCAGAGTGCATCCCAGTTTGCAATTCCTGATAGATTCAGAATTCGATATCTAAAACCCTGGCTGTACGCTCTTCCCTCAAAAAAGACACACTGACAACTAGCTTTTATACCTCACTTATACCTTTATTTCTTATTTCATTTAAATGAGGTTAGGACAATAAGCTCATCTAAGGAAACTGCATACAATGCCAAAATACTTCACTAACATTTGGTTTATGTAATTGCTAACAACTCACTTGTTATACTAGTTTATTACACTGATTGTGTCATATTCTGATGTCACCTCATGTTATGTTTTACCTAGGAATTAGCAAAATAATTTGTCATCATGTAATTGTGTTGATTCAGAACTGGTTTTGTTTATCCAACTTATGTAAAGTTGCTCTTGTTTTTGAGTTATCTGTAGTGGAAGAATATTTGCCAAAATAATACCAAATTGGACCCAGACAAAATTACCTAGCATTTTTTTTAAAGCAAGGGAGAATAATAGACATTAAATGAAGGGTAATCTCTGCTTGGATAATCAGTTTGAATACATGCTCCAACATTTAGACTGCATAGGAGTTTGTGTTTAGTTTGAGTTAGTTTAGTTGGGCAGGAAATTCAAAGATATGTTCTAGAGTTCAATTTAAAGCCTAGCTTTTATTGTTGTTGTTGTTGTTGTTGTTTTAGTGATTCAACTTGGGTTCGCAAATGATAGGCAAGTGGGATGCTACTGTGCTACATCCAGAGATTTTTTTATTTTTTGAGGCAGAATCTAACAAAATTTCCCAGGATGGTCTTGAACTTGTAATTCTTCTGCCTCAGACTCTCTAGTTACTGGGATTTCAGATGTTTTCCACAATGCCTGGTTAATTTTTAACTTTTTAATGAAGCTTTTTAGATTCATTTTGCAGTTTATGTTTTTGTTTCACAGTGTTGGGGCTCAAACCCAGAGCCTTGTGCATGTTAGCTCTCTACTGCTTACTAGACTACAGCCCAGCCCTGCAATTCATGTAACTGACAGATTGCTTCAGAGTGAACATGTCTTGAAACCTACTACATTTTTGAAAACTTTACTGCTTTATTAATTCTGGCTCCTTCATTTTTAAAATTAATGCCATCTTCTATTTGTATAGATCTTAAAAGCTGTGGACATTTTAATGGAAGTTTTGGTAACAATGATTTTATGATAGAAGATTCTTTATTACAGGTTTCTAAGATTTGTGTGCTCTTTTTTTTCAGGGATATAAAATCATTGATATTCTAAGATACGAAATTTTTAAATGACACTGTATATATTACAAGAAAGTTATAATTTTAATGTTAGAAAGTTTATTTTCTCATGTATAATATTTTGAATGTATTTGACCTGTAAAAATATCAATCTTATAACTCATAAGAATTGTTTTTGATATGTTTTAGTTTAATAGTATGAATTAGTGAATATTATATCATACTGCTCATTGTAATGTATCATTCTATGTTGTGCTTTAATTATTAATGTTCATGTAGCCCAACTCCAAATGATACATACCTACTGGAACTTCATTTGTAACTGTTTTTCCATCTTGTATATCTGAAAATGTAGTTAAACAATTTAGCTAATTCTTGCCTCTTTTTAAATCATAGTTTTAATTTAGGGAATAATTCTTAGCTCAATCTTAGTTTTACTTCTTTATTTCATTTTGGTGGTGGAGTGGGGAGGGTAACATACACCCTGATACAACTTTTAATTGAAGATATTTTATGAGATTGTATTTTGGACGGGAGGGCTAAGAAACTTCTACTCTAATCTAGCAATGGGAAGTTTAGGTAATGGGGTTTTAGTTGTACTCCAATGATTTTTAGTCACTAGTATCCAGTAAAAACCTAGTGTTCACTTATTTTCTATACTTGTGTTTACATTGTTATTATAGAAATGTTCTCACATTTTTATAAATAATTGAAAACCAATAAAAATTTTAATTCCGATTAAGCAGTATTCTTAGTATTGATTTTTGTTTATATTTCTTAAAGAATTGCACAGTGAATCCAAAAGAAAATATCCTGAAAAGAGTGAAAGATATTGGACACATCTTCAAAGAGAAATTTGCTAAAGCTGTGGGACAGGGATGTATTGAAATTGGATCACAGGTAATTTGAGCTCATTTTTATTAGTGCCACTGTATAGCAGTAATTTTACAGGCATTCTTTGTTCAGACTGCACAAATACTCTAATAGCATTTTTCTAGTAGTATGAAACATTGGCAGATAGTATATCTCAGCTCCCTGTGTATGGTGTTATTTATAGGAAACTTTATGGGCAGCCCCTTCCCACTTAAAACAAAAAACAAAAATGAACATGCCAGTTGTGGAAACTTTAGAAATTAATAAGTAAAAGAAATTAAAATCATTTACTCAATTTTTTATTTTTATACTTCTATATGTATAAATATTTGTGCATGCATTTGTGATTGAAATTATAGTATTTATGCCAGTTGTCAGTGATACTATTTGAGGGAATCTAAAATAAAAAATAAAATCAATACTTTGGGTAAGAATATGCACTCTGAACTTACAGTCTGGATTTGTGTCTGGTTTTGCTATTTATTATCTGTGTGATGTTGAGTATGTTGTTTTACTTACCTGAAATTCAGGTTCTGCATTTGGTCTACTTAACTATGTGGCATTAATGAAGGTAGTATGTAAAAATGAATATGCAAATTGTAATTCTCTATACATATTTATTCCATTGCAGTGAGGTTGTATTTTGATGCCATCAGTGTGTTGAGCAAATATACTTGAAAGTTTGTTTTGGTTGCAAATGATGTGTGTGTACTCAATTTGGAATGAAGGAATATGGTTTTTTTGTGCATGTATGTGTATATAACTCAGAAATTTGGTTATTCTCTCTGATAGAAACTGGTTACTTGGTTAAAATGTTTTGCTGATAAGGTCAGTTTTGTGTGACCTTATCAGCAAAACATTTTAACATTTGGCATGTGCCATTTATACCAAGTTTTATAGGCAGATGCTATCCTTTTAATCATAAATATGTAAAATGCTTATAATAGTATTTGGTATATAACCTATCCTTAATGAAACAGACTAAAGGAAAATCAAGTAGCAGACCTACCTCCTGATAATTTATTGGTAATGTTAGCTATCACTTTATACATAGGTCTTGTTTTTGACAAGCTACCTATTTGTATTCTTTTAGTAGCCATATTCTTAATGAGGATATTAAAAAGTATATTTCAAAACAAATTATCACAGATTAATGCTTGTTGTGATTTTCTAAAATAGCAAGATCTTATATTTCTTTGTTTGTAGCGATACAAACTTGGAGTCCGATTGTATTACCGAGTGATGGAATCCATGCTTAAATCAGTAAGTTAAAAATAACATAATAAAAAAATTAAATCCTGACATACGTAACGTTTCATTTAAACTGTTTTTGAAATTATCTGTTTTAGGAAGAAGAACGATTATCCATTCAAAATTTTAGGTAAATATTTTAGCTTTACTAAAATATTTCTTTTCTTTTTATAAAAATAAGTATTTAAAATCATTCTTTTTTTTCCTTTAGCAAGCTCCTGAATGACAACATTTTTCATATGTCTTTATTGGCCTGTGCTCTTGAAGTTGTAATGGCTACATATAGCAGTAAGTCAAATTTTAGTAAATAGACATTTTAGTTCAATTTAAAGGTTTTTTTTTTGTTTTTTGTCTTTTTCCTTTTTATCGGTACCGGGGATCGAACTCACGACTTGCCTGCTTGCAAGACCGGTGCCTATGCCGCTGAGCTAAATCCCCAGCCCCCAATTTAAAGTTTTAAAGAAACCTCAGGTGTGTTGTGTTTTTCGGAAGGGTGTTTTAGGGAGAAAAAAGGTATACTTTAGATCATCATATTGTGAAGACTCTGACTGCCATAAACGATTTGACTGGCTTATTTTATGGTCATTTCAGGTCACCTTGGGGGTGATACTTCATCAGGCTCCTGTTTTAAACTTACTGAGTCTAGGAACTCTTTTCAGAGACCTGTAAGACTGTTAAGTGCAAAGTGGTATTAAAGGGCAGCTAGTGGGTACTCTTATGGACATGAGACTAAAGATTAGAGCTGCAATTCTCCAAAGTTTAACACTTTTTAAGCCAATTACAAAAATTTAGTAATTTAGTGCTAACCAGAACAAAGGTCATTAAGTGGTTTTTTTTTTTTTGTCTTTTTCCTTTTTATCAGTACCGGGGATCAAACCCACGACTGCCTGCTTGCAAGGCAGGTACTTATGCCACTGAGCTAAATCCCCAGCTCTCTCATTAAAAGTTTTTTAAACATATAATTTAAGTATATATTATTTTACATAATTTTTAAAATATTTAAAATATAATTTTAAGTATTTTGCAAATGTTTTTTTAAAAGTTTTGCTTATAGAAAGTTACCTAAGAACACAAATACATAACAAAAGATAATATAGAAAACTGAATACTCATTAACAAGCACATTCTAAAGAGAAACGCTTTTGTTACTAAAGAAATTAGCAACATCTTCACACATATTAGACTGTCTTGAAGGATTAGTGAGTGTTAAAATAGATATGGTAAGGAACTACTGATAGCATATAAACTTGTCCCTAATATAAGTTTAGGATATTTAAACCCTTCAAAAGTTCTGTATAAATGTTTCTTCTAAGGAAAACATAGCATATAGTCAAAATTTGGAAGCCTATGTTTTGGGAGACTAAAGACTCCAAAAAAAAATTCTGCTCTAAATAAAAGTAATTTAATCTTTCTACAGTATTTAAGACCTTCCAAATAAAAATACTTAGTTAAGTCTTAACATTTCATATCTATACATTTTTTCTTTCATTTTTAGGAAGTACATCTCAGAATCTTGATTCTGGAACAGATTTATCCTTCCCATGGATTCTGAATGTACTTAATTTAAAAGCCTTTGATTTTTACAAAGTGATTGAGAGTTTTATCAAAGCAGAAGCCAACTTGACAAGAGAAATGATAAAACATTTAGAAAGATGTGAACATCGAATCATGGAATCCCTTGCATGGCTCTCAGTAAGTAACTAGCTAAAATAAAGATACTCATATGCATATGGCTAATAAATTATCTGTTAGAAGTATATCTTAACATCTACCTTGAGATAAATATAAAATCTAGTAAATAATGTTATTTAAATATATAACATTATTCAAGCCCAAGAAACAAGTGAGTATTAAAATAGTTTTGAGTTCCTCAGATCTTCTAGTATGGTGATTTACTTAGGAATACCTAAGAAAACATGGCACTTTAAGATAAAGCTCAAATATTTAAAGTATTTAAGTAATTTTTTTGAAGTATAAATGTTATTAACTATTAATAATTTAAATATCTGTTCTTAAATTTTAACAAATTTAAAATTTTGAGATTATGCCATTTAGATAATTCAAAAGTATATTTTTTCTTGTTCAACTTAATAGGATTCATTTTTATCCCATCATTGCAAAATGTACACTATTGTTCAGTTTTTAGTATTATTTAAAGGATTATCTAGGCACAAGTTGTATTTTTTAGGTATTCTATTTATAGCATACGAATTATTGATAAGGTTTTTGTTTTAATAAAAATGACTACATAGTAATTATAAAGTATTGATTTGATGTTCTGTTATGGTCTGCAAATCTGCAGACAGATTTGTGAATATTCACAACACTTTGTGAATATTCACATTTATAGATTAATGGTCAGTTTCTGTTGAAAATGTTGCACACTAAACAAGTTTAGTTTCGGTGCCCACCTGACAGTCAAAATTTTTTTTTTTTTTTTTTTTTTTTTGTCTTTTTCATTTTTATCGGTACCGGGGATCGAACTCACGACCGCCTGCTTGCAAGGCAGGTGCTTATGCCGCTGAGCTAAATCCCCAGCCCCTGACACTCAAAATTTTTAAGTTTTGGCACATTTGAGCATTCAAATTAGAATGCTTGACCACTAAAGTCTATGCAAATATTCAAAATTTGAAACATTTTTTATCACAAACATTCCAAATAAGAAATATTAGATATCTTTTAATTTATGCTAGTTTATATAAAAGGCAATAGAAGTTAAGACTTGTTATATTAGAAGTATGTAACTTTAACTTTTGATGTTTTACATATTCAGTGGCTAAATGATGATCCATTTCATACAGTTTGCTCATATTGTCATACAGACAGTACATAGAGAGAAGTACAGAAAATTGTTAGAAAAATGTTATGCTGCTGTTATTGAATTTGGTAACTATAGGAATTCCACTTGATAAAAAGAGTGATTAGAAAACAAATTTTTGGAACCTTGTAGATTAAAAGTATTAAAACTAAATAGATAATTTTTTTTTTTTTTTTTTTTTTTTTTTTTTTTTTTGGTACTGTGTGCTTGCAAGGCAGGTGCTTAGGCCGCTGGGCTAAATCCCAAGCCCCGATAAATAAAATTTTTAAAAAGTGCTTTTTGGAGACTTGTATGTCTTTTCTAGAAATTGAAATCAGAACATTACTATATCATCTGAAAGGAATGAGTCTTACTTCTTTTAAGTAATTTTAATTCTGTAAGCACACATTCATTAAATGTCTGCTGTGTACCTTGTATTGACTAGACATTGGGAGGATACAAAAAACACAAAGGCTCTGTAAATTGTAGAGCAAGTAATAGAAATTTCTTCAAAAATTGCTTGTACTCAGGCCTGCTTAGCTCAATTATGGCATTGAAGGACTTTAAGTATTATTTCTTTTTCTCTTTTTATCGGTACCAGGGATCCAACTCACGACCTGCTTGCAAGGCAGGTGCTTATGCCACTGAGCTAAATCCCCAGGTCCTAAGTATTATTTCTTTACTTTTGAGAATTTTTGGACAACAATGACATGCCTAAAGTTTGAGAAAGAATATAATTTAGGATGATACAAAAGTCAAGGACCGGTGAATTTAAATCCTAAATGTGTTATCTCTAAGAAATGAAACAGCATAGGACTTTTGTCTAGTCATGTATTGTCAGTGTTTGAACTTTGTTACCTTTTTTTTTTTTTGTACCATGGATTAAACTCAATCTTGCGCTTGCCAGACAGGTGCTTATGTCACTGAGCTAAATCCCCAGCCCTATATTACTTTTTAATAATATAAAACCTAGGGTAGTTTTGAGAAACTTTGTAAAGTTAAATCATGTCCCACAAACAGGACACTGTATTCTTGCTGTGAGGATAAGTGGCATCATAGAGAAGGGATATGGCAGATATATTTGAACTTCCAGAGACCTCATTTTATTTGAAGCGTAATGTATGTACAGAAAAGTGTATATTTCAAGTGACAATGCGATGACTTTTTCACAAATTGAGCACATCCATGTAACCAATGTCCAAATGAAGACGAATAGCAAGCTGGGGACATAGCTCAGCAGCACAGCACCTGCCTGGCAAGTGTAAGGTTGTGAGAGTTTGATTTCCAGTACTAAAAAAAAAAAAAAAAATTCAGTAGTAAGTCGTAGTCTTTTGATTCTGTATCACAGTAAGAATTGCTGATTAATTCTGTAAGTTAGTGAGAACGTATTCTCGCAGTGTTATTGACTAAGGGAAACATCATGTGAGGTACTGTGTACTTCCTGCCTCCAGTGCTGGAGATTGATGCAGATTTAAACCCAGGGTCTCTCACATACTAGGCAAATGCTCTATTACTGAGCTGCTGTCCTCCTTCCTACCCTAATAATTTAACCAAAGAGAGAACATCACTGTATTTTTAATGATCCTGCAGGGAAATGAGTTCATCTTTGCTTGACGGTCTTGAGAAATAAATCAAGACACAAAGAGCACACTTCTGTTTCTTTTCAACCCACGGAAATTAGTAGGCAATAAATAAGAATACAGTGCTGGGAATTCTATCAGAAAACCTACTAAAATCTCATTCCCTGAGTGTTTTGAAGGTTGGAAATGATTTAGAATGCATCATACTGAAGCATTAGGTTATGTGACTTCCAGCTATCTTGATAAATCTGTTAAATTCATAATGCTAGTAGGTGATGAGATCTTAGTTTCACTGTTTTCTAAATTTACCAAATTTTTCTTCAGTGAACCAAATTATATGGGGTGTATAATGGTCTCTCTTTCCTAGACTTGTGTAGGTTCTTACTGTTGATTCCCCATCTGTTACTAAGGCCTCTTCTCTCACAGCAGTCAAATCTTAGAATGCAGATCTTGTTGTGCTAACTCCCCAGATAAAAACTTGCTGTGGGTATCACATTCATCTGGTGGTGATGGAAGAATGAATGCATGATGCCACGCCAAAAGAAAAACTCCCTAGACAGTCTGTAAAGAGTAGAGAAAACAGCAGCTTGCAGCTACTGAAAAGGAAGAACAGCAAGACTCTGCTTCAGAAGGGAAGGAAGGACGCTGTGAGCTTGCAGGGCAGGAGAGCTGTAGCATGGGGCTGAGTGCTGCATGTGTGGGGAAAGACCAGCGTGTGAGGAGAGGATGCCAGGGAGATAACTGTGGGCTTGTTGACCAGGGAGGTTAGCAAACTGAAGCTGGAGAAACCTTGAGCCCTGAAAAAGGTAGGAAAATGTTGCAAGGGAGAGAGCCAGAGAAAGGGAGCTCAAACTGTGTTGACCATGTCTGTCTGAAGCCTGAATCACTGCTGTAACAGAGCTGACAGGACTCAAAGCTCTGGACTGTGACTGGAGTTTCTGCCCAATGAATTGTGTGTACAGTTCAAGTTTAGAAAGATAGTTGCTTGTGAAACAACTAAACAAAAACCCTGAAGCTCATCTGAGAAAAAAGCATCCATGATCTGCACAATATAACACAGCATCAAGGATATAATTCTGAAATTACCCAAATGCAAAGAAAGCCAGAGGAACCAAGTGCATGATTTTAGAATGGAGAGCTCTAGGTCAACTATTTTTGCCTCAAAGACTTTAAGAAGCTTTGTCTCTTCTTTTATCTTATGTCACCAGTTCAAAGTATAAACTGATTCCCTAGGGGTGCCTGAAACTGCTCCACGGAATCTGCAATATAAAACCATTTTCATGTTACTATTAAGATATCATTTACATTTCTGTAGTCTGTTGTCATTTAAAGTGATAGTGTAAAACTGTTGACACCTTTCCACGGTTTAAGGTAGTGTGGTACTAAACTGTAGTCATATTCTTCACCACGGCACTCTCCTGTAAGACATTCAGTCTGATGAAATTGAAATGTATGTAAAGCTGCATAGCAAAGTTGATAGTTGTTTTTGAGGAAAAGCATTTGTATTATTGGTGGAGTTGTAAACTGAACTAGTCACTGTTTTCAACACATTATTTACTTGTAAGACTGATGAGCAGAGTTGTTTATTCAGGCTTAAGTATTTTGCAGAAATTTTCTTGATAATAGACAAATACCATGTTACTTCAGGGAAAACATAACTGACAGTGAAGTTTGCCAAAGTGTTTTCTAGTGAAAATTAGAATCCAAGAAAACCTGTGTCTACCACTATACAGTTGGCACCTTTCCAACTCTTCAAAGACTTGCTCTGGTGAAATAAGCGATAATCTCAGTAATGTGCTTGGTTTTGTTCTATAAAGAGATTTGTCAACATTTGGAGGTTCTACATAATTCAGTGAACCAGAATTTTCAAATGCCTAATATGTCATGTAAAATCATGGATGAGTGAGAGATTCATTAAAAGTTCGAGACCGACCAGTGAACTTTAAGTACTGATGAAATTTGTTAGAATATGAAATTTATTTGTTCATTGATTCTGATCCGCCACTGCAGTTAATCTTTAAGAAACAGTCATTTGTTGAGTTTTGATGGAGTTTCAAAGAAGGTAAGCACATTTTTGCAAAACACTATTGAAATACTCTTCTTTTTTTCTAGCTGAGGCCAGGTTTGCTTGTTTTGTATACCTCAGCGAAAAAACATTGCAACAAAGAAATATAAAACTGCATATGAAAGTCAAGTCTCTTACTAAGCCAGATATTAGTAAGACTAAAAGTGCCATTGTTTCTAATATTTTGTGATTTAAAGAATGTTTGAAGAATCTCTAACGAATGGTTGAAAATAATTCAAATATTCTTTTT